TTTTTTTTTTTTTTTTTTTTTTTGAAGCCCTTACAACGAGAAAATGGGGGGGACACATCTGGGTGGGAGGGGGGAGAGGGAGGAGGGAGGGAGGCTTTGGTGATGGGACAGAATAACTAACTACATTGTATATTGACAAAATAAAAATAAATAAAAATAAAAAAAATAAAACAGCATGGTACTGGCACAAAAACAGATACATAGACCAATGGCACAGAATAGAGAATCCAGAAATAAATTCATGTATCTACAGCCTACCAATCTTCAACAAAGGCACCAAGAACATATATTGAGGAAAGAACAGTCTCTTCAATAAATGGTGCTAGGAAAAATGGAGACCCATATGCAGAAGAATGAAATTAGACCCTGATCTCTCACCATATACCTTAGTCAACTCAAAATGAATTAGGGCCAAGCCAGTGGCGCACTCGGGAGAGTGCAGCGCTGGGAGCACAGCAGCGCTCCCGCCACGGGTTCGGATCCTATATAGGGATGGCTGGTGCGCTCACTGGCTGAGCGCATTGCGGCCAGTCTCAAAAAGGACAAATAAAAAAAGAAAAATGAATTAAAGACTTAAATGAAAGACCTGAAAATATGAAACTACTAGAAGAAAATACAGGGGAAACACTTCAGGACATGGGACTGGGCAAAGATTTTATGAACATGACTTCAAAAGCATGGGCAATGAAAGAAAAACAAAAATAAACAAATGAGATTATACCAAACTAAAAACCTTCTGCACAGCAAAGGAAGCAATCAACAGAGCAAAGAGACAACCTGCATAATGGGAGAAAATGTGTGCACACTACTCATCTGACAAAGGATTAATATCTAGAATATACAAGGAACTCTAACAACTCAATAGCAAAACAACAAATAATCTGACTGATAAATGGGCAAATAGAGAGGCCAGCCCATGGCTCACTTGGGAGAGCGTGGTGCTGACAAAACCAAGTCAAGGGTTAAGATCCAGTTACCAGTCATCTTTAAAAAAAAAAAAAGGGCAAATAGAATTGACATTTCTCAAAAGAAGACATATATATAGCCAATAGATATATGAAAAAATTCTCAACATCACTAATCATCAGGGAAATGCAAATCAAAACCACAGTGAGATATTATCTCACCCCAGTTAGAATGGCTATTATCAAAGACAGAAAATAACAAATGCTGGCGAGGATGTGGAGAAAGGAGAAACTTTATGCTGCCAGTGAGAATGTTAATTAATTAGTACAGTCATTATGGAAAACAGTATGGAGGTTCTCAAAACAGCACAAATAGAACTACCATACAATCCAGCAATCCCACTACTGGAAAGGAAATCAACATGTCCAAAGGAGACCTCCACTCCGATGTTTATCGCAGCTCTATGCACAACAGCCAAGATATAAACCAAAGCTAAGTGTCTGTCAACAGATGACTGGATAAAGAAAGTGCAGTACATATACACAATGGAATTACTCAGCCGTAAAAAAGAATGAAATCCTTCCATTTGTGGCAACATAGTTGAGCTTGGAAAAAATTATGTTAAGTGTAATAATCCAGGTACAGAAAGAACAATAGCACTAAAAAAGTTGATCTCATACAAGTAGAGAGTAGAATAGTGGTTAGAGAGTGGTAAGGGGAGGGGGAAAGGGTGATAGGGAGAGGTTGGTCAGTACAAGATACAAGATTGCAGCTAGATAGGAAAAATAAGTTCTAGTGCTCTATAGCACTGTAGGGAGACTACAGTTAATGTGTGATTTCAAACAGCTAGTGAGAGGATTCTGGATGTTCCTAACACAAACACAAACGTTTGAGGTGGTAGACATGCTAACTACCCTGATAAGATCACTGCACTCTGTACCCAAATATAACACTGTACCCCATAAATTTATACAATTATCATGTGTCATAAGTTGTCTTGAGTCATTTCAAACATATACAAAAGAAGGAGGAATAGTATATTTAACCCCTTTATACCTATCACCTAAATCCAACCTCTAGCTGCTTCTTAAGGAGAGCTTAGAGCAATCCATATGTTGAAGCTCCACTTGCACCAGCTGTCCCAGATATGCCTGAAGCCTCTAGAGGTCCCATGGTGTAATTCAACTTGCTTCTCAGATTACTTCACTCCTGATTTAGGGTTCTGCTTTCTTAAACCTGCTTGGTAAGATTCAACTCATCCATCGCCTTTCCAACTCCAAAAACTGTGTTGTTCTCTTGTTCTCTTTTTCCATCTGGGTTTACGCCTTTTTCTTCATCTTATCCTATCATTTTTCTGGGAAGAAATGGAGGCCAAAACTGTGTTCCATCCTCCATCTTCAATATTGATTAAGTTCTTAAACCAAGTCTTTCTTTTCTCATTTATATGTCTCTCTTATTATTCCCATATATTACACTGTGGAGATATTAATTATCTATTGAGTACTTATGTAACTTATTTTATGTATATTAATTTATTTAATATTTCCAACAATGCACATTACATTGTTCTACTGTTATCCTATATCATGGATGAGAAAAATTCACATTTGAAGAGCTCACATGAAACCTAACCTATGAAGGAATTGAGATTTGAACCCAAGAATGTCTGACTCTAAAGTCCAGGTTATAAACCACTTCTCATTTCTTTTACCTATGAGATAGGCCTTAGTGCTAGTCTAAGGTTCCAAGGTAAATGCCTCTAAGATATATCTATGATGTGTCTGGGGAACTGACTCTTGTTCAAATTCGACAGCTTTAAATTCAAGAAAGTACTTGGACCAAGCCAGGTTAGCCTGAGGAGGCTGTAAAGGTAAGTGAGGACTGGTTTCATGCCTGGAATACAACACACAACTATTCCATGAAGTCATATTATAAATTAGTAAAAGGACTGATGAGGTGCACTTGCCTTGGATGTTTGGAGCCCTGATCCACATGCAGACTAACCAACCTGCAGAACTGTTGCAAGCTTATGGATCTCAGGACATCAGGTGAGCTTCTAAAAGGCTGAAGACATTGCCTCCCTCAGACCTACACTCTACAATTACACTCAGTGAGGAGGCTCTTTTGGTGGGTCCTCCATCTTGCCTTAGAGAATATCTCTGGTCTCTCTGCTGTGTAGTCTGACTATGGTGACCTCATCTGCAACCTTTCAGTAAGGGAAATTTTGGATTTACCCATGTGATGTGCGTGTGTGGTCCTTCATCAAGATGAGCTATTAAGAGGTCACACTATTCCTATCTCCCTATTTGACTTCCATCATACAAGCATTAAATATTTTCAGAAAAACAATCAAGTCTTCAGTAAAAAAGAATGAAACGGAAGGGAGGGAGGGAGGGAGGGAGG